CCAAGTATGCACTGAAACCTCCACAAACTGTAAGTGAAATAAACCTTTCCTTCCTTAATTTTGGGCGTCAGGTATTTTATCCCAGCAAGGAGAGAAAAGTAACCAAGACAAAGAGTCATCTGCGATGAAAACAAGTCAAAAGAAAGTCCACACAGAAAAGCAGAAAGGCCTGAGAATCACAGTGAATGTCTCAGAGAAACAGCAGCTAGGCTTTTATGTCCTAAAAACAGGATGGTAAATCCATCAGGGAAAACTACCATCTAAAGGAGGAAAAAAAATCAAGAGGTACTAACATTGGAGGATACTCCCATCAGATGATTAGGCCTTCACTGAAGTTCCCTATGCTGAAACCCACCAGCTGACAAGCCACCCAGACACAGGGGCAAAAAAAATCCCTAGTATCCTTAGAAATGTATGAGGCACTACATTACTTATTGCCAAAGAATGAGATTTTTTTTAAAACAATAATCAAAGAATACAGAGTTTTCATTAAAATAAACATTAGAATAATTAAAATTCAACTGAAGGGTTAAAAGTGATACTACAGCAAACAGAAACTCCAAAAACACACCCAGGATTTGGAGGCAGGTTTATTTTATAACAAGGAGCACTGACTGGGATCACTTCCAAAGTATCAAGCCCTGGGGGCTGGGGATTTAGCTCAGCCGCACAGCTCCTGCTTGGCAAGCGCAAGGTCATCAGTTCGATTCCTGGTACCGGAAGAAGAAAAAAAAAAGTATCAAAAGCCCTGATCAATAGTGGTCTAGGGTTTCTATGGGATAGAGGCAGAGTGACTTGCCAATTGGGGACTAGTTCTTACACTATACATCATAGCGACCAGCAATCAGGTATGTATCACAATCACTAGCCATTTCTAAGAAACAAAAGTAGCAGGAACTGTAACCAGAACTATTACCTGGGCAACTAACAAACTAAAATATACTGGGGAGGGGAGATATCCTGCTACAGTTAAAGTCAAAAAAGTGCCTAGAAAATGGGAAAAATATAAACAAAGAAAACATAAGTAAATTGGAAAATCAACCCAGAAGTACCAACATTTTACCAATGTTTTTAAAAAAGAAAGATGGAGGTTTGTTCGATGATAGAGTGTTTTCCTAGTATGTACAAGGCCCTGGGTTCAACCCTGACGTGGAAAAAAGCAAATAAAAGAAGAGATTAAAAAAGAAAAAAAGCTGGGGATTTAGCTCAAGCGCAAGGTCGTGAGTTCAATTCCCAGAACAGGAAAAAGAAACCAAAAAAAAAAAAAAAGTAATAAAAGAATATTTTTGTGAAACTGAAAAGAAATTACTTTCAAAATAAAAAGGAGGGGCTGGGGATTTAGCTCAGCGGCAAAAGCGCCTGCCTGGCAAGCGCAAGGTCGTGAGTTCGGTTCCCGGTACCGGAGAAAAACCAATCAAAATAAAAAGGAGTCACTGAATACCAAGAAAAAAGTTCAGGCCAGAATTTCTTTTGAAGTCCTAAAAACGTTCCACAAAGAAAAAACAAGTAGGTAATACAGAACGAACTGGAAGTCAGAATAGTCCTATGGCTTTCAATAACAACAGAACACCTAGAAGAGAAAACAAGAAGACCTTCAAAAATCTAAGAAAAAAATAATCTTTTAAACTAGAATCACATACCCAGCAAGATTAGTATAATAAATTCACAGTGATACGAACAAAAAAAAAATCTTTTTTTCTCAAGAAACTCCTGGAAGATGTGCTCCTATAAACCACTGAAATAAACCAAGAACAAGAATGACAAGAAACCACAGAGAAGAAAACTCAACCCAAAACAAGAAAAAAGAAAGTCTCAGGAAGATGGTCACCCCAAGCCTCAGGACAACAGACTTGCAGTCTGATCAATCTAGACTGGATTAAAACCACAGAGAACTGCAAAGTGTATTTCAGAAGAAAATGATAAAAGCACCTGATTCTGATTTGTTTAATAGGATTTTCACTGTTCTGTTAAAAAGTTCCAGGCCTCTATTTACAATTTCATATTAATTATATTAATTACTGCAGTTACTTAATAAGTGAAAAGAGGCAATTACAACTAGGAAAGAATAGAAATTTAATCATAACATCAAGTGAAATTTAATCACGGTACACTTCACTTCCTTACTATGAACGATATTATATCACCACACAATTATAAATACTGTACATGATTTCAAGCCAAAAAGGATAAATACACTTGAAAATAGAAATATCACAGAGAAAATCATATCTTGATGTGTTTCTCTTTATCCTGTAAATCATTCACCATATCTAAAGTCACTTTCCCTCCAAAAGTCACTGCTCCTCCAATCTTCTCCTTCCTTTGGCCTTATGGAGCCTGCTCTGCACAGAATTTACTCCAAAATCTTCTATTAGGGCGAGAAAGTACGTCTATCAGTCATTATGGAGAAGTGCCAGGAGAAAGAGACCACACAATACCATTAGACCTCTACAGATCTCCTTGTGGTCTTCCATTCACAGGAAGCACCAACGCCCCCTCCTGGTTGTCCTGAGACTGGCCCAACAAGCCAAGGCGGGTACTTGATGGCAACTTAGGAGTTCCTGGTTCTAAGAGGGGTCAGCAGGATCCCTGCCTTGCCTGAGCTGCCTCCATCACAATCTTCTGACATGACACAGACCATACAACCATTGATGGCTTGTTCTAAGTCCAATTCTGAGGTTCATGGCTGGTCATCTGTATTTGTTGAAGACACCATGCACTGGTTTGGGTTTTACTCCACTACTTGTTCTAATTACATGAAAAGTTTCAAAACCTATGCCACTGCCATCTTCTCAGAATCATCTTCTATTTGACCTTGTCAGCTGTCCTCAAGTATTATTCTAATAAACATAAAATTTAACTGTAAAGAGAGAGATACAGGGGCTGGGGATTTAGCTCAGCGGCAAAAACGCCTGCCTGGCAAGCGCAAGGTCATGAGTTTGGTTCCCGGTACCGGAGAAAAACCAAAAAAAAAGAGAGAGATACAGAGCACATTACAGAGATGAGCCCCACCTTTCATAGAAGGGTTTTAATTAACTGCTTTTGAAAAAGCAAAAATGAGTATCAAAGTCCCACTGGTGTCATTTATGTTATTATCTATGCATTATTGACTTTTGAAGCTCCATGACCCCCAATACTAGTAAGCATACCTAGCATCTAAATCTTGGTTTCTAATTAACATTCTGTAAAGCGGGACAGAGAACTACTTAGAGAATGGATGATTCCAGGTCAGAGAGAGAAAAAAATATAAACTGAGAACACCTCATAGCAGCAGAAAGTATGAAAGCGCTCAAAATAAAATGATGAAGTTATCTCAAAAGGATGCCATAAATAATCTAGAAGAACTCCCAATGGCCAAAGCAGAACAATCTGACCAAAAGAATAATTCCAGTGGATTATAACTAGGTTTACCAGGTGAAACACAGAATAATCAGTTAAATTTGTACTTAGATACAGAGTTTTTGCTTTAGTATAACATGACATTGTAATATCCAGTATGCCAATTTCTACATAACATTTATAAGTTGATCTCTAATAATAAGATAATTACCCAGTAAAATATGTGAAATTCTGTACCACATGGACTCAATCACTCCCAATAACTCCTTTCATTTCTACATAACAATAAATCTAAAATTCCCCCAGAAATCAATTATTTATCGCTTACCTTATAATCACAGATTAAGATTATGGAGAATAGTATGGAGAAAACCAGATAATCAAATCTCACAACATTACATTAACAATATTTATTTCATCTTTCTTAATAAAAAATATAACACAGGAACTGTGCAGTCTCATTACGGTTTAAGTTGAAGTGTCAATATTCTTATAAGAGATGACATTTCATATTCTGGCTTTGCCCCCATAAGATATACCACTTAAAATTTATGAGAAGTCATATGCTTCTTAACAAGGTAACAGAATCAAAATGCTCTAGCACTGCTTACCTTTTAAACAGTGCATCTATGTCAAAGCATTCATAAATGTAGGTTAAAACTGATAATTAAAAAGATCATTGGACTTTTTTAGAATCAGAAGTGCAGACAACTCTTATAAATAAGTTCCAGTAAAATTATTACAGGCAAAGAGTAGCAATCACCTCGGAATTTTACACCTCTTCTTTCAAGTGAATGTTTGTGTTCCCAAAATGAAATGGAATTTTTGGGATTTAAGGTCATAAAGCTGGAGCCCTTATCAATGAAGTTAGTGCCCTTATATGAAGATACTAAGATATACAAGAGCTGACTCACTGCCACCCCCAACACACACACAGTGAAGAAACGGGACAGGGCTATATGCAAACCATGAAGAGTGCCCTTAACGTTTACTACGTTTGCCAGAGCATTGATATATGGACTCCGCAGCCATAGGACTATGAGAAATAGATTTCCGTTGTTTTAAGTAATCTAGTCTATGATACTCTGTCACAGCTGCCTAAACTAAAAACAACCTCCCTTAGGTCAAAAGATAAGAACTGCCTTGATTTGGAGTTCAGGAAATTTCACAATGATGAATAGAATTTCCCTTTGAAGATCAAGTTCAACATCTAGCTCTTCAATCATAAAATATTTCTACTGAAAACAAAGTGGAATATAACGTGGATAAATTTTGACATTTCTTCTGAAATGAAATTCCTTGTGAATCTGGCAATTTCTATCTTCACTGCACACAAAGAAAGTACATTCAAGAACCTCTCCAAGAGTCTGAAAGGCTAAGGATTTTTAATTATAAATTCCTCTGACTACAACCTACTTTAAAAAGGGGCTTTTCCAAAAATAAGTTGAATCATTTCATTCATTTGCTTGCTGGAGACTTATGAGTAAAGAGTCCTCATACAGTTTTTTCTGTTTCTCTCCTAAAACATCAAACCACCCTTGGAGAAAATGCATAAAAATTCACTGATAAAACCAACTGGCATCTTCCAGCACAGTATGATGCTATAATTAGCAGGATATTCCTTCTGTTTACTCAGTGATAAATGGGAAGACTGAACTTACCGAGCTAGGGCTAGAATGCCGCCTAACTTTAGGCGACTCTTTGCCAGCGGAGGAGGTCTTAAAGTTAATGCAAGCATTGTTCTCAGAATGCACCCTCTTTACTTGATTAGTCGGTTTCTCAAACGGGTCAAAAGTGCTCTGCGTCCTCTGGACCCGGACTTTTTTATCCTCAGGAATTGTGTCCAGGTGCTTGATCACTGAGTCCATTCCCTGGCAGTTCCGTGTAGACATCTTTGTGACACATATCTGGAAAAAAAAATTAAATTCAGAACTCTGCACTGAAACTTTCGCATCACTAAACATGCAGATTTCTTATTTTAGAAAGTATGCCAGATTCAATTTCAGGAAACACCCGAAAAGCCCATATTCTAAAAAACTAGACCAGTTTCAATCACAGTACGAAAGTCCTCACAATCATTCTGTTCATACACCATTAGAACTCACATTTTAAAAGCTATCCCTAAAACAAGAACCTGATAGTGTAGATCACTAGTTCCAATTATTCTTGAACTGTCATATCTTTTATAATCTGACGCTAAGTGTATATTTTTAAATTATTGAGAGAGTATATAATGATTTAATGTCAGAAAAGATAGAAAACAATCAGATGGTCACTTAAACTGAGGGGTTATCACAGAAGCAGTTAACACAGGCTAGAGGAAAAAGGCACCATACTGATTAAAGGTTTTATGTTATATAATGTTTAAAATCGGTCTGCATCCTGAGTTCATCTCCAAATTGGAACAGAATTGAGCCCAATTCTGGATTTTTTGCTCTTTAATTCCAAAGCTAACAAATAAAAAGGAACAATATCAATGAAAAACACCAAGTAAAAACAACCTCATTACAAGGTTTGTTATATTCCTCCACTAGACTGCTAATTCCTTCCCAATATCTCATTCTCTTCTAAGCCTGCTCCACTTTTTATTTTAGTCTTTGAGTTTTGCTCTGTTTTCCACTTTATGCTCTAATCCTTTCACTCTATGTTCTGGAGACTTTGGTGTCTGTACTGAAAAAGTGTATAGTCGCTAGTTTGTCTGTAAAGCTAGGTGTTAATGGTTTGAGCTGTAAAGGTCTCCTAAAGAGCCATGTGCTAAAGACATGGTTCCGAGCCCATGGCACACTGGGGATAATGGAACCTTAGGAGGCGAGGCCTCATGGAAATAAAGTCACTGGAGTTTGCCCTGGAAGGGCTACTAGAGCCCCAACACCTGTCTCTTTCTCTCTTTGCTTCCCAACCACCATGAGGAGAGCAACTTTGCTATACCATGTGCTCCCCACCATGACGTTCTGCCTACCACAGGCTCAAAGAAACAAGCAAGGCCAAGTGACGATGAACTCAAACCTCGAAAACCCTGAGCCAAAATAAACCTTTCCTGCTTTGGAGTTTCTGAACAGGTATTCTGTCACAGTGACAGACAGCTAGCGTACCAGGTTAATTTTATTTTCTGTCTGAAGAAATGATAACTCTACATGAAATTGCTTTTAGAATATTTTTCTTCACATGAAAAATTTCCACATCCCTGTATGCTATCAGGTAAGGAAAAAGAGGTAATATTCAATCGAAGTTAATACTGTTAATGGAGAAATATAATTTTTGAAACAATATGTATAGGTTGATTCCATATAGGCAATAAATGTATATATCTATGTCTACAGCTATTTATCTATACATATACACAAATATGTATGTATATACACATACACACACATATATATGAGAGATACAAATAGATACAGGTACACAGATAGACAGTAATATTTGTGTGTGCACATGTATGTGTATGAGTAGAAGCACAGTAAAAATTCCTGAAGGACATATACCACACTCAACTTCAGGTACCTCCACATACGTAGAATTGTTGTGCAGATAAAGGGTAAGATTAGTAATATTTTTACACTCATGTATTATTTGAATTATATATATGCCAATCCATGTAATTTTTAAAAATACTAACATAGAAAGGCATATATAATTAAACTCAGCTCTTTGAAGTTTTTGCAACCAAAAGATAATCCTAAAATTAAATATTAAGCATCAACTCTGTCCCAAGACAACGTCTCCACTACTAAATACAGGTTAAATGCTAATTAAATCAAAGAAGGATGTATCAGACTAAAGGTTTTAGGGGGAAAACATTTAAATTCCTAAGCCTGAAGTATTCCCAACTGAATATTCCTAAGCATTACACAGTTATCATTTTTTCCATCTAGTAGCAAATGATCAAACAGAAAACAATGTAAAATAAACTTTTATATTGTTTCTCAGAAACAGTAAACTTTTACAAACACAGGCCTACGACCATGATTTCACTCGCTACACTTATAAATATATATCCTGCTAGTTAGCTCCTAATTCATAGGTCAATTAAAAAATATATCAGCATCCCATCCTGGTCTGCAGAGTATGATCATTTCCAGGCACCCCTCCCTTTTTCTTTTCTTTTTGGAATCAAACTCATGACCTCAGGCTTGCCAGGCAAGCACTTATGCTGCTGAGCTATATTCCTAGCCCCAGGGACCCCTCCTAAACACACGCTAAACTCCCGACCTTCTCACCTACTTTTATGCAGCAAGGAGCCTATGTTACTGCACTGTTTTCCCACAGTGCCTTGCTCAGTACCTGGCCCACAATAAAGCTCTGTAGGATTCTGTTGAGTTAATAAATCAGATTCAGGAAGATTCGTTCAAATAAGTAATCTTTGTACTTTTCTTACCAAAAGAGCTAAAGCTCTGAGGCATTACAAAGCAATTATTGTAGCATTATCAACAAGCTTTAATTGCAGGTTCATTATGACACCCAGGATTCTAAAACAACAACCGGGCTGGGGATTTAGCTCAGCGGCAAAAGCGCCTGCCTGGCAAGCGCAAGGTCGTGAGTTTGCTTCCCGGTACCGGAGAAAAAAAAAAAAAAAAAAAAAAAAAAAAAAAAAACTAAAACGACAATCAATATTCCTTGTCTCTGAATAACCCTCACCCTTCAGAATGTGATTACGATGTGATTCCCTACAATTTTTCTATGTTATGCATTAGACGAGCGGGCCTGATAGAACCTGGTGAGCTCTTTAAAATCAGGGCACTTTCTCCAGCTAGCTGAAGAGAAGGTCAGAGGGGTGCACTCTGGCAAGCCTGGAATAAGGCAGAGACTCGCGCTATAAATTGCCTGACGCGTACCACAGGGCATACACTGGTCTCTGTCTCACAACTTGCAGGTATATGGGGACCACTGCTCTGTATAGGCAAGAAAATTATTTCTGCTGACAACTAGTGATCTGTAAAAAGGGCATGAGGCCCAGTTAATAACCACAACCAGAATAACACCCTGATTTCAGCCCAGAGAGATGTGCACAAAAAATTACCTACTACTCCACAGCCACACTTCGAAACTATGAAACTATGATGCAGTAAGTCAGGATGTTGGCGGCACCACGCTACACAGCAACAGCAAGCTAATACATTCATTGAATTTAAATTTCCTTGAAGCACTCTGATATCTGAGCACAATGTTCTTAAGGAACTGCTACAGATACACACTGTACCAGATCCAGGAGAAAATCAGCAATAATTCTCATGACTAATGCCAACATATAACCATGTACTTAAGAATCTGCTACATGATGTAATTTCATCAGTTTATAAAGCTCAAAAACAAGTTTTCCACATTAAGTCTGTACACAGTATATGCCAGTCTCCACTGCAGCCAGGTTTGTTGAATAATACGGGTATCAGTACCTGCTGTGCATCTTCTTCCAGGAAAGTAATCGATACTTGAGTTTTCCACATAGTGCCAAGTAACTGCTGTGAACAGGTTCAAGTTTCCAATATTTGGGACGAACTACGTAAATGTAATCTGGCCCTCTCTGTTAACTATGAGTACAAGAGAAAGCAGAACCAGGCCCTTGGGGATCTCCCAAGCCTCTCTGGCCATTCGCCTTGCAGACCCTAAACATACAAGGGGAAGTTTGACCTAGCGAATAACCCAGGCAAGCGAAGTAACAATAGCGCTCATTCTTTGCTGAAAGATGTAATTTCTGGTGACTCTGAATAAAATTATTGAAGTGCGCAGCGTACATAAGGAAGAGAGTAAGCAGTGTGGACTCAGCAGTGCAAGAGTGCTAGAAAACAGATTACACACTGGTGCCGTCCACCAGCACCCAGGACTGCAAGTAAATCCTTCTAACAACCTGTCGGCGCTCTAAATAAACTCTTCCCTGCAACAAAGAGAATCACCTTTCTTCCCACAACAAAATACTTATGGTCAGTGCACTAGAAAGTGTTGGTAAAAGATATAACCTAACACAGAAGAAAACTTAGAGACAGGTACATGATTTGTCAAAATAGAAAAGAATGAGTGGGAATCCCTAAACCCCAAAAAGGCAGATTCGTCCAACCAACAAATATGAACCCTTTTATCCATTACCAATTTTCATATGCATCCCTAGTGCCCAGATTTTGGCCTTTGTTGTAATTCCCCACTGAGAGAAAAAGAAGGAAGCCTTCTAAGGTAATGGATTCTAGCTCATTGGGCAGGAAGTACAAAAATAGCTGGGAAACATCCAGCTCTTACAGAAACATAGGCAATCTTCAAGTGTCCTCGAGAATGCTAGCAGGTCAAAGGAATCTGCCTAAAGTGGCTCCCATTGACTACACTGTGATTATACATATGACCATTAAAAGGGAAAATAATAGTATAGCTTAATGAAACCAATTATTGAAACACCATGAGCTCTTTAGGATTTCAAAAGAGAAAAGGTGTAAGACAGAGCAAATGACAGTCACAATATAAAAGGAGGACAAATATAATAAGATGTGGTTGGTTTTAACAGAGAGAGCAATAAATAACCAAGTGGTGTTAGGCAAAGTAGGAATACACCAAGAATACGCATGGCTGGTCAAGGCATGTGGGTAGACACACCGAGATCCAGAAAGAAGAACAACATAGATGTTCCAGTGGTGGCAGACAAGGCCAACGCAACAAAGCAACATGCTAAAGCTGTGTTCCTAAAGTGACACTTTACAAAGTAAAGTACAGACATATGGTAGAGACACCATACTGCAAAGAAAGTCTATGTGAAACCAATACAAAAGACATTTCTAAAAAATAAGTTAACTCTTACAAATATCTGCAAATTTAACACTAAAAAGGAAAATCAATGTGGCTCCCAACCAGTGACTTACATATGAATCACTAATTTGGGAAAATCAAACAAGACCCAAGGATCAACAACTCCAACCCTGTGACCTAG